ACCTGGACCAATCCTGACTGCAGGAACTGTTCAGTCACCATTCCCATCATCCGACACTTTGTAACAAATGGGGATGGAGCAGGCGAACAGTCTCCAAAAATGAAATACAAAAAATACATTCCCTCCTTTATCTTTCAAATCTGTTTGTTCTTTTTATTTTAATATGTGGGCATACAACTCATGTGAGAAAGGTTTGGATTTGTAAAAATGGGGAACTGAAAGTCATTGATACCCGCACAGGAAATCACACATATATATCCACAGAGTGACAGAGGCCCCAGGAGTAACAATCACCCAGAAACCAAAGATGCGTCTGACTTGGTGAATGTTTGAACCATTTTGGGACAGTAACATTCATAACGTTTCCTTTGAAGCAAGTTATAATTGTATAAACAGGACTGTTGTGTGGGTCCATTTACTCAGCAGGCAGAAAGATCTGACCAATTACTACTCATACTAAGACTTCGAGCCCCTTCTCTTTATACAGTTCCTATGTGTTGCTTTACAACACTTCCTTGTCCCTCTCTTTTCCTCCTCTTTCACTCCCAAGCCTCTCATCCCAGTTGTATCTGACTTGAATCTCCAGCACTAATGTGAAATTTCAACCCTCATTCCACTGGCTCTGCTAGAGCTGCTGTGACCTTTCAGTTTTCAAAAACTTTGTTAGTCACATTCCTTTAGAAAATATGCACAAAACAAATAAGACATCATTTCTTGACCAGGCACCGTACTCTGGCTGAATCCACATCACTAGAGCATCAGAAACATAGTTCAGAATTCTTGCGGGTTGGGTGAATCATGGAAGTTTCAATATCGCTTCATTTCAGTCACTTCCCCGCAGACACAGCCAATGCCTTAGATGACAGAAGAGAATGTACCATTGTCAACTTTGTGGATGACACAAAAATAAGTGGGAAACTAAATAATGAGGATAGCACAAGGAGTCTATCAGGGGAGATAAACAGGTTGTGAGTGACAGAACCTTGGCAGATGGAATATCATGTGGCAAAATTTGAGGGTATGCACTTCGGTTGGTTTAAAAAAGCTAAATAGCATTTAAATGGGGAAAAGCTTCACAAAACCGTGGCAGAGAGGGATTTTGAGGTGCTCCTGCATGAATTACAAAAGTTAGCATCAGATTTCAATAGTGAAGTCAAATGAAATGTGACCTGCATCTCAAAAAGAATGGACGATAAAAGTAGAGAGGGATTTAATGTTTTAGCGAAGATCTGTACTTTCAAAGACGAAAGGCCCCACACCTACAATGAACAGGACAAATGTGATATACAAAATGCCACACAGCAACTGGAAGAAACAATACATAGGACAGACAGGCAGGAAACTCGCCACCAGGAAACACGGACACCAACTCGCAGCAAAACGGCACAACCAGCTCTCCCTCTCTTCTATTCACTCCGACAAAGAAGGAGGTTGGCTTCCGTGATGGTCTGGGATGTGCACGCCACCTTCTGTAATTTCATACGGTCCTGGGCAGAGCAGGTGTCGTACCAGATTGTTATGCATTCTGATAATATGCTTTCACTGTGCACCTGTAAAGTTTGGTGTGGGTCCTTATGGACATGCTGAATTTCCTAAGCCGCCTGAGGAAGAAGAGCCGTTGTTGTGCCTTCTTCAACGTCCTAAATACGTGGGAGGTCCAGGATAGGCTGTTGGTTATCGTCACTGATAGGAACTTGAGGCTCTCCACCCTCTCCACCTCAGATCCATTGATGAAGCTGGGGCAGTATCCTCCTCCTTTCTTCCTGAAGTCAATGATCAGTTCTTTTGTTTTGTCAACATTGAAAGAGATGTTGCTATCATTCCACTACTACACCAAGCATTCCAACACCTTTCTGTATCTGACTTACCATTGTTTGAGATCCGTTCTACCACGGTGATATCGTTAGCAAACTTGTAGATGTCATTCGTTTCGAATTTGGCTACACAATCGTTGTTGTACAAAGAGTAGTGTATGGGGCTGAGAACACACCCTTGTAGGGCTCCAGTGCTGGGTGTTATCGTCGAGTAGGTGCAGTTGTCTTTCTTCACTGTGGATCGGGAAGCTGAGGATCCAGTTGCAGGGGGCGGAGTCGAGACCGAGGTCTCGGAGTTTTGAGATGTCTCGTGGTATAATGGTGATGGAGGCAGAGCTTTAGTCTATGAGTAGCATTCTGACATAGTTGTCCTTGCTGTCCAGATTTTCCGGGAATGATTGTAGGGCTAGGGAAATGGCGTTTGCTGTGGACATTTTCTATCTGTCAGCATATTGCAGGGGATCAAGGCAGGTTAAGAAGCTATACTTCACGTGGACCATGACCTCTAGAATCACTTCATGAGGTCAGGGCCACTGGGAGGTAGTTATTAGTGCACATTGCATGTACTTTTCCTGTACCAGAATGATGGTGATGATAAACCTATCCTGTGTAGCAGATGTGTTGAAAGAAGACACACAACAAGCTTAAGCTAAAATCTAGATGCAATGTTTGGAACAATTTCATTGTCGTGCTACGAGTCTGGTTTCAAATTCCCTGGTGGATATGACAAGAAATCTCACTGCATTCTGTAACCAATAGGAAATTGACAATAATGGTTCAGGGGTATTTTTCAATGAGGGGTAAGATTCGGCTGAGGGTTTACTGCTAATCTTATCCAGAACTGGATTATTTTCATTAGGGTTGTTTCTGCTGCCGTTAATAGAGTACAGTTCAGTTATGAGTCAATTACATCAGATTTTTGTTCAAGACACAATGTTTTGAAGCTCTTTAATATGTTAAAATCAAGTTAATTCTTTTTGAAGGGTTTTCGTTGTTCCTTGTCTCCTCCATCCTCACCTTCAAACATTGTAACTGTAGCTCACAGAATCAAAACAGGTAATCTGGCATTGTCTTTTCTGTATCTTCCTGCATGTTATCTGCTGAACAAAAATAGAACGCTACAGGTAGTGGAAATCTGAAATTAAAAATAAACACAATATCCTGGAAATACTCAGTAGTGTGAGGAGAGAGAAACAGAGCTGCTGTTCATGCTTGCAATTAAGTCAAGGTTCTAAAAAGTAATCACCCAGTCTGTGTTTGTCTCCCCAGTGCAGAAGAGACAGTGAGCAGCGAGTACAGTAAATTAGCTTAGCTGAAGTATAAGTCAAGCAGCGAATCACCTGTAAGGGATAGTTGGAACCTTGAACTGTGAAGGAGGAGGAGAACAATGACCAATTCTATATGTCCTCCGACAACGTGAACATTCTGATGAACAGAATGGTATTGATATCTTAACATGATACAAATGAGGTATGGGGATATTAGAGACGTGGATTTGCTGCTGCGTAGCGAAATTACCTCTCGGAAACCTGACGGGGAGCAAAATTTTTTTAGTTGTGGTGTCATGTTGGAATTAGCTGCAAAAGAATACTTTGATAAATGAACCTGCTGGTGAGGGAAGTGGTGACAAAGGTAATGCGAAAGTGGCTCAGAGACGTATGAATGGTGTAAGGGCAGCATTGTTGAAAATAAGGCAGGCTTGGTTAAGGCCCTATCCAACGTCATTGAGGCAATTCTTGGCGAATAAAAAGGACAGCACATTTCATCAGAACATCTTCATTTCGGAGGAAAAATCAAAACACCAGAAACTATTATAAGATAACAATGTGTAGAGCTGGATGAACACAGCAGGCCAAGCAGCATCAGAGGAGCAGGAAAGCTGACTTTTCGGGTTTAGACCCTTCTTCAGCATCTGCAGTTCCTACTATCTCATTATACTGGAAACGGTTTTCTCTTTTTGGATAGAAATGTCATTATCACGAACGGAATATGTGGAGAACTGTATCGAAGTAAGTTAACTGGAAGGTCTGAGAAAGCCATAGGTTGATGAATGTTCATTAGGATGCTTAATGTGTGAGACCAAGCAATTTTCTTCTTCAGTCCACGCTGTACTTCATACATTTCAGTTTGTACATCGAATTGAAGGTTCAGACACGTGTTTGAGGCCTGCTGTGTTCATCCAGCTCTACACCTTGTTATCTCAGATTCTCCAGCATCTGCAGTTCCTACTATACCAGAAACTTTTTTTTTTTCCCTGCGTTTTCTGTGTCTTCTCGACTAAATGTAATCCTGAAGGTATTTTAATAATGCGGAGGAGCTCCTCCTTTCACATTTCAAAATAAATATAACTATGAAATCTTTAAACATATTTTTAAAACACTGCATTTGTTTGATGAGAGCTTTAACTCGTGCCACTAAGAAACACCAAGAATGGTTTTGACATTTTAAAATTATTCAAATAAAAGAATACTTTCTAACTGGAATGTCTGAAGGAGGGAAAAAAAAAGTCAGAATCTGCAGTACATCAAACTCTGAGAATACACCAAATCCTTGGTTTAAATTGTTGTTCTTCCTCTTTATGGCATGGTGACGATGGAGGACACTCTAATTTGCATTGTGTCTTCTCAGGATGAGAAAGGGCTTTGACAGAGGAGTTCTAAAAATATATTCATTAACGGAACATCACTGGCTAGGCTACTATTTATTGTCCATCCCTTAATTGCCACACTGCTGTAAGTCTAGAGTCATATGCAGAACCCTTCTTCAGAATTTCTGAATTCTGGATTCCTAAAGAAGGGTCCAGACCCGAAACGTCAGCTTTCCTGCTCCTCTGATGCTGCCTGGCCTGCTGTGTTCATCCAGTTCTACACCTTGTTATCTCAGATTCTCCAGCATCAGCAGTTCCTACTATCTCTGAGTGAGTTTTAACTCCTCCCCCCCGCCCCCCGAGAATATTACTTAGGTCTCTAGATTAATTTTCTAGCGATAATACCACTAGAAAGTCGCCTCCCCTCAAGGTATCCCGTCAAACTAGGTAATGGGAAACAGCAAAGAATTGAGGGGTAAATGAACAGGTGCATGGCAGGCCAGCTACCCAGCATTCCGTGCGACACTGAACTTCCCCTATCCACGGAACAGGGAGCAATACCCACCGTGGAAAGCGGAACGGAGCATGCGCCGCGTTAGTGATGGCTACTCATGGAGGTGGTTTTGTTCGGCTCCGCAAACGGTGAAATTTGGAGCGAATCGCAGAGTGCGGTGGATCTGTTAGGTGGACTTTGGCGATTCAGTAATATCTTGTGCAAATCTCAAACCTGAAGAAGAAACCCCTGGTTCTCCGTTTGCATCAAACGGGACGATGCCTGCAGGCTTCCGCCCAGGGACAGGCCGCTGGACCATCCGCCACCTTTGTTAGGGGCATTGGGCCGTGGGGCGCGTGTGTGGACATCATGTTTGTGAGGAGCAGTATTTGGAAAGACTGGGAGGACCTTGCTGCCCATTGATCACAATGGAGACAATTTGTCCATTAAGTTGTTTTAACCTTTCACACCCCATGTCTTACTCATGAAGGGCGGCAGGAAAGGAAAGAAAAGGAAGCAAATCCAAATTTGATATCCAAATCCCGTTGGCTCAGGAGACAACCTGCCCCAGTTGTCCAAAGATTTGCAGTTCTGCTTTTCACATTAAGACTCAAGGCAGTTCCTCACGACCCTGAGCAGTTGTCACCATTGAGTCGAAAGACTGACAATCACATTGAGAGGCAGTGTGTGCAGTAGGGAGCATTTGTGGTTGCCTGGGCCAGGAAGAAGGGATATTGTTACTTTCTAAAGTAAAATAAAAGGCGCTGGAGAAACCCAGTAGGATAGAGCAACAATGTTAACATTTACAATCTGATATTGCTGTATTCTATTGCTGAACTGATAGTGATAGATTTCAGAAATTTCTTTCACTGAGGCTTGGAAGGGTGTGTATATACACAGAAAAATAAAACAAAGGGAATAATTTGTATGAGCTCTAAATTTTTCTGACACTGTCTTTTCAAAACTTCTTTTCCAGTGTATTTGAAGAGGATTCACAGACTGGAGATTCCAACCAAACATCATATAAGAATCTGACAGAATTGGTGGATTCATCAGATACCCGATATTATTGGCCTTTGAGTGTAAGTGTTGGCTTCCCAATCATTACCATGCACTGCATATAATTTCTTCATCACATTCTCCCTGTCACCATGTCTAAGTTCTTAAATTGGTGTTCCATGATCCATTTCCTATCAGCTGATGTGACCATCTTGTTTATATCTACCTTATCTAAACCAATCATAAACCCTTGCAGGTCTGTCAAATCTCCCTTCAGCTTCAGCTCCTCCGTCACATTACAAATCCCTCTGTCCTGAACCGTGCTGGTGAGTGAACCAATCTGTCCTCTCTCAGGGACCCTGCAATCCTTCCCAATGTGTGGGTGATCTCTGGTTTGCACAGACCCAGATGCTGTGTGTTCCTGTGTGTGATGTCATCATGCAGCGACAATTACACGGTGACATCACCCATTCCCCAGGTATTTCCTGCACTGTGAGATTTTTCTCTGACTCCAGTGTTTCTGAAATCTTTCCAGCTGTAGGCTCCAGGAGGAGAATTTCAATTGAAAATAGAGATGATGTTTAGTATTTTTGACTATGCCTCAACATTTTGAGCTTTTACTATCTGTTATCTGTGAGAGGTTCTGTTGCATTGTGGCTGGTATGTCTCCTTTAGTGTGGTTCTGAATCTATTTTGATACTTTGCTCAGTTTCAGTCCTGCCCTCCTTCGGTCCATGTTAGTTTTGTTGTCTGTGTCCAGATGAGATTTCCACCATGTCTATCATAGAGTCATACACAATAGAAACAAACCCTTTGGACCAATAGGTCCATGCTGACCACGTATTCTAATCTGATCTAGTCCCATTTGCCAGCATTTGGCCCATATCTATTTAAACTCTTCCCATTAATGTACCCATCCAGATGCCTTTTAAATGTTGTAATTGTACCCGCCTCGACTACTTCCTCTGGCAGCGTGTTCCACACACGCACCACCCCCTGCGTAAAAACGTTGTTCCTCAGGCCCTTTTTAAGTCTTTCCCCTCTCACCTTAAACCAATGCCGTCTAGTTTTGGACTCTGCAACCCTGGGAAAAGAACTTGTCTATTCACCATATCCATGCCCCTTATCATAGTCAACCTCTATCTGGTCACCCTTCAAGCTTTGATGCTTCAGGGAAAAATGCACCAGCCTATTCAGCCTCTCCCGAGAGTTCAAACCCTCCACTCCTGGCATCATTCTTGTAAATCTTTTCTGCACCTTCTCCAGTTTTAGTTCGAGTCATCTCCTGACCATATACTGTGTATTTAGAAGTTTCCAGAGTATCTTTCGAAGTCAAGAGTTGTTCTTTGTGCAGTGCAATCCTTTTTGTCTTCTGCCTCTGAGCTTATATTAAACAAAACACCTACATCATAATTATTCTCTGTAATTCATTCAGTGTATCCTGAAACAGTTAGTCTGTGTCTCTTTCCACAGATTTCAGTCAATATTGCCAATGCTCAGTGACCTGTGGAGAAGATAATGTTTGACCTTCCTGAACTGCTGCAGTCCATGCGGTGAAGATGCTCCCACAATGCTGTTTGGTAAGTAGTGACCAAATGACAGTGAAAGACCAGGGTATTTGTCCAAATGAACAACAACTTGTATTTTTGATGGAATAAAATGATGAGATATTACACAAGGTAATCATAAAACAATACTTGACACCAAGCACACATGGAGATATTAGGACAGGTGACCAAAAACTGGGCCAGACTTAGGTTTTTTTAGGAGCAACTTGAAGAAAGAAAGTGAAGTTGAAAGTGAGTGAGGTTTCTGGAGTAAATGCAAGAGCTTATGCCCTTGGAAGCTGAAAGCATGGTCTTAGAGGCAGGACACTTAAAATGCTTAGGAGGTTGGAATTTAGGATACATTGTATCTCAGAGAGTTCTGAAGGTGGAGAAGATCATCGTGGGAGCTGCTATGGAGAAATTTGACAATATGGATAAGAATTTCAATATCTTAGTGCTTTGTCACCCAGAAAATGGGTAGGTCAGTGGCCACAGCGTGAAAATGTCTGGTGCGAGCAAGCACATCGGAGTTTTGCATGACCTCACGATTATTGGGAGGTTGAATGTGGAAGGCCTTCCAGTACTGTGTGATGACCGTTAATGCTAGTGATAGAAAAGGAATGGAGTTCCAGAATCAGATGAACTGAGTCTAGGATGAAGTCAGGTGATATTTCTGAGGCCTTGATGATGATGGGCTTATGTGGTTGCAAGCGCAACTTAGGGGGAAATCTTTCATGTTAGTTGTGAACAACGTGATTCAGCTTCAGACAGTTACTAGGGGGAGGGATGGATTCAGTGGTGAGGAAGTGGAGTTTGTAACAGGAAGTGAAGACAATGGCTTCAGTCTTCCCAACATCTAAATAGAGGACATTTCAGCTCACCCATTACTAGATGTCAGCCAGGTCAGGATGGTATGTGACTGGGCGGTAATGGTTGTCATAAATCTGATGGTGTGGTCCTTTTAGATGGCAGAGGTTGAGAGTTTGGGAGAGTGAGGAGTTGGGAGATTCTGTTAAAGTTCTGGTTGAGTTGTAAATATTTAAAATTATTTTCCCTCCTGTCTCTTCCACCTGTCACTTTGTCGTTTCATAGAAGCCAGAGCCTTGTATAGGCCCAGATCTGCTGGCAAGATCCCAGCCCTGAAGGATATTAATGAATCAGTTTGGTCTCATGGAGACACACAGCAGAGAAACAGGCCCTTCAGTCCACCATGTCTACGCTGACCAAAAAACACCACGCTACACTAATCACATTTACCTGCAGTTGGGTCATAGCTGACCTTGCCCTGGCATTTTAAGTACTCATCCAGATGCATTTTAAATGTTGCAAGATTACCTGTTCCCACTACTCTCTCAGGCAGCATGTTTCCTCTATCTACCACCCTCTCGTGTTTCTTTGTCTCAGACCTCCTCTAAACCGATTGCTCCTGTCCACTCTGCTCTCTGGCCTTAGATGCGTCTGTCATGGGGAAGAGATTCTCATGACCAAAATTCTCAGTTCAGTTAGACAGACAGAAATCGAACAAATCCATGCTGACTATCTCTGATCAATCTCTGCCTTTCCTTGTTAACTAATCCTGTCCTTCAAATTTTTTTCCAATAATTTCCCTATCACTGACCTAAGACTAACTAGTCTAGAATTTCTGGCCTTTCTCTGCTGCCTTTCTTGGACAAAGGAACTACATTAGTTATCCTCCAGATGTGTGGTACTGCACCTGTGACCAGTGAAGCATTAGATATCTGTACCAGAGCCCCAGTAATCTCCTCCCTTACCTCCCATAGCAGCTTGGGATAATTAGCAAAGGTAGGTCACATGGAATCTGGAGAAAATTAACCATTTTATTAACCAACCATTTGGGGCAGCACGGTGGCACAGTGGTGAGCACTGTTGCCTCACAGCGCCAGGGACCCGGGTTCAATTCCACTCTAGGGTGACTGTCTGTGTGGAGTTTGCACATTCTCCCTGTGTCTGTGTGGGTTTTCTCCAGGTGCTCCGGTTTCCTCCCACAGTCCAAAGATGTGCAGGCTAGGTGGATTGGTCATGCTAAATTGCCCGTAGTGTTCAGGGATGTGTAGATTAGGTGGGTTATAGGGGGATGGGTGCTCTGAGGGTCGGTGTGAACTCGTTGGGCTGAAGGGCCTGTTTCCACACCATAGGGATTCTATGATCTATGATCTATTTGGAAACAAAAATTGGCCTGAAGTTAGGAGACAGAGCTTGGTGATGGAGGTTGTTTTTCAAACTGGAGTCCTGTGACCAGCAGTGTGCCACAAGGATCAGTGCTGGGTCCACTGCATATTCTAATTTATATTAATGATTTGGATGTGAATATGGGAGGTATGGTTAGTAAGTTTGCAGATAACACCAAAATTGGTGGTGTAGTGGACCATGAAAAAGGTTATCTTAGAGTACAACGCAACCTTGATCAGATGGGCCTATGGGCCTATGGGCCGAGGAGTGGCAGATGAAGTTTAATTTAGATAAATGTGAGGTGCTGCATTTTGGAAAGGAAAATCAGGGTAGGACTTATACACTTAATGGTAGGGTCTTGGGGAGCATTGCTGAACAAAGAGACTTTGGACTGCATGTTCATAGTTCCTTGAATGTGGAGTCACAGGTAGACAGGATAATGAAGAAGGTGTTTGGTATGCTTATTGATCAGTGCATTAAGTATAGGAGTTGGGATTTCATGTTGCAGCTGTACAGGACATTGTTTAGGGCACTTTTGGAATACTACATTCAATCCTGGTCTCCATGCTATAGCAAAAAAAGACATTGTTAAACTTGAAAGGGTTCAGAAAAGACTTAAAAGGACGTTGCCAGGGTTGGAGCTATACAGAGAGAAGCTGAATAGACTAGGGCTATTTTTGCTGGAGCATTGGAGGCCTTCGAGAGGTTTATAAAATCATGAGGGGCATGGATACGGTGAATAGCCAAGATCTTTTTCCCATGGTAGGCTAGACAAAACTAGATGGTATATGTTTAAGGTGAAAGGGGAAAATTCAAAATGGATCTATGGGGCAACTTTTACGCGCAGACAATGGTGCATGTATAGAATGAATTGCCAGTTGAACTGGTGGAGGCTTGTACAATTACAATTTAAAAGCATCTGGAAAGGGTACATGAATAGGCAGGATTTATAAAGTAATGGGCCAAATGCTGGCAAATGGGACTGGATTAATTTAGGATATTTTGTCGGTATGGTTGAGTTGGATGGAAGGGTCTGCTTCCATGCTGTAAAACTCTCTGACTCTATTTCATCAGTCCCTGGCGGGGTTGTACACCTTTATGCCCGCCTGAAACATTAACACCTCCTCCAATTAATCTTAACATGTTCTAGAACCTCAGCATCCCAACTGAACTTTCCAGCTACAATGTCTTTCTCCACTGTGAATATAGATGAAAAGTATTCATTTAAGATCTCACCCATGTCCTCTGGCTCCACACACATGTCGCCCCGTTGATTACTAGTAGGCCCCACACTTTCCCTGGCAATCTTCTTATTCTAAACGTACTTATAAAATGCTTTAAGGCTTTTCTTTCATAGTACCTGCCGGAGATATTTCATGACCACTTTTGCCATTTGAATTTATTTTTTAAGCATCCCCACACGCTATACTTTTGAAGGGCCTCCCCTGTTTTATTGCGCTGTACCTAACATATGCATTTTTCTTTTTCAAACTCTTACTATCCCTTGACACCCATAGTTCCTTGGACTTGCTGCCCTTGCCGTTCACTCCGAGAGGAGGTTTCATTGACAGCCAGCAGGCCTCATTGCTACTTTTTTGGCCCCATAAATTCAGACAAAACTCAGATAGAATCTCAACCAGCTCAAATCCCCAGTTTTTGTGGGCTCTTTTTCATTTTTTTTTTGTTTTCTGTTTTTAATCAATTTCTCAGGGTATTAGCAAGAGAGGCTTTGCAGTTGGGAAATTACATCACGTATCACATCAGGATCTGATGGTGTCACACAGTTTATTCTAACTTGAATATCGTCAATTTTGAATATGGAAGATAAAAGTGCTAATTACAATGGGGAGAAATCATACACATGTTCTGTGTTTGGACCAGGATTCACACAATCATCTGGCCTCTCAGAACATAAATGTGGTCACACTGGGCAGAAACCATGGAAGTGTAGAGACTGTGGGAAGAATTTCAAATCCCCCTCTGACCTGGAAAGACACCGGCGAAGTCACACTGGAGAGAGACCATTCCCCTGTTCCAAATGTGGAAAGGGATTCACTCAGTTATCCCACCTTCTGAAACACCAGCGACTTCACACTGGGGAGAGGGCTTTTAAATGTCCGGACTGTGGGAAATGCTTTATATGTTCCGAGGAGCTAATGTCCCATCAACGTGTTCACACGGACCAGAGACCATTCAAGTGTTCTCACTGTGGGACTGGGTTCAGATACTCATCTCGACTTATTGTACACCAGCGAGTCCACACTGGGGAGAGACCATACATCTGCTCCGAGTGTGGGAAGGGGTTCACTCGATCATCCAGCTTACTTACACACAAGCGAGTTCACACTGTGGAGGTACGTTTTAAATGTCCAGACTGTGGGAATTGCTTTGGAAGTTCCAGACAGCTGATGTCGCATCAATGTGTTCACACTGACGAGAGACCGTTCAGATGCTCTCACTGTGGGACTGGCTTCAGGCACTTATCCCGACTCATTGTACACCAGCGAGTTCACACTGGGGAGAAACCATTCACCTGCTCTGTGTGTGGGAAAGGATTCAGTCAGTCACGATATCTGCTGAGACACCAGCGAATTCACACTGGGGATAAACCATTCTCCTGTTCAGAGTGTAAGATGAGATTCACTGATTCATCTACTCTGCTGAGACACCAGCAAGTTCACACTGGGGAAAGACCGTTCACCTGCTCTGAATGTGGGAAAGGATTCATTTTGTCATCCCACCTGCTAATACACCAGCGGGTTCATACTGGAGAGAGACCTTTCAAATGCCCAGATTGTGGGAAGTGCTACAAAACTTCTTGGGAACTGATGACCCATCAACGTATTCACACTGGCGAAAGACCATTCAGGTGCTCTCACTGTGGGACTGGGTTCAAACGATCGTCTCAACTCACTGTCCACCAACGAGTTCACACTGGGGAGAGGCCATTCACTTGCTCTGAATGTGGGAAAGGATTCACTCATTCATCGAACCTGCTGAGACACCAACAAGTTCACAAGTGATTGGATTTTACGGCCAATCACCTCCAGAAGCGAACAACGTTGATTGGGTCTTTTCCTGCAAATTTTAGGAAACTAGGTTTTCTTAAGATGACTGGATGTGGCTGTTTGTTATTTGTTCCCCAATAAATGGGCTCACCACGCCATTTTAGAGGGCAGTTACGAGTCACCCACATCATTATATATCTGGAGTCACATGTAGGCCAGACTAGGTACAAATGACAGATTTTTTTTTCATCAAGGATATTGCTGAACCAGATCAGTTCTGACAATCAGTGGTAGTTTCATGGTATGATCAGGGAAGGCTAGCTTTCAATTCCAGACCTTTTGAATGGTATTTAAATTCCACCAGCTGCTGTAGTGTTTTGATCCAATATCCCCTGAGTATTAACAACTGAATGGATTACCAGTCCAGTGACATTCCCACTACACTGCAATCTCCTCCTAAACTCCAGCTCAGTTCTAGATATTAATACTCCATCTAAATTTCAAATCAATCAACTTTGTGTAAACTAGTGCATTGAGTCTTTTTAAAATCCTGACAAGTTGGGTCCATTTGAAATGCTCTTCCCTTTCCCCTGTATTCTCCATTCTGATCTCCAACAAGTGTGAAGAGCTCAGGGAGCTTCTTTGTCACTGTGATTGAGATACTCTGATTGGCTACCATGGTTTAACTACCTACTGGGCCATACTGCCTCTCAACCTCCCCCATGCCCAAGACCTGAATTTGCACCTTTCTCCATACATCATCCATAGTCACCAGAAATTCGATACTGGAGAGACAGGGTGTAAGCATTTCACGTGTGACAAGATTTATAAAATCTCATTCACTGACAGTGCTCCAGTTTACTCACTGTGGTTCCATTCCATTGACCTGGTTTCACTGTGGGAAGAGGGTCAGATGATTGTTGAACCTGCAGCAACACCAGCGAGTTCACACCAGGAAGAGGTCACTCACCTGCTCTGTGCATGTGAATGGATTCACTCATTTATCAGACCTGCTTGCACACTCCTGAATTCATACTCACAGCGCACTCACAGTGAGGAAAGGCCAATCAGCAGCTCCCAGTGTGGGAGGAAATTCAGCCAGTTCTTCCCACTTCAGCGCACAGCAACACGTTCGCACTGTTAAGAACCTGTTTTAAAGTTCTTCCTGCAAGCAGAGATTTTAAAGCAAAATGTATCAAATGAAACACAAACCCATTTACACTGGTGCAAAACTGTTCACTCCTCTCTGTCGGGGGAAAGGATTCACTTGGTTATCTTTCCTCCAACCCTGAGACACCAGAGATTTCACAAGTGACTCCAGTCTGCTGTAATTGCTGCTGTTAGTCTCATCCAGGAGTGACTCATATTCATTCTGACAGTTGATGTTTGTTTCTGTTGTGTTAATAATCCCTGTAACCGGACTGCAGTGTAATAAGCAGGGCAGACATCAAATAAATCAGTCTTGGATGAACGACACCATTGTTAGTTTCTGTCTTTTCCACCTGGCTGGACCTCAAAAAGACTGATCTGGGGGCAGTACAGCAGATACAGAACATCAGCCTGAACACAATCCTTTAGTTAAGAATGATAAATGGGCACTTAGGTACTTCTCTCTGTTCACTGACAGCAAAGTCACAGTTTGGGTTCACCCTGAGGTAGGGAAGAAATGTATCCCAGTCAATCTCCTGCATGGTTCACAGCTCCTGGACACAGAACTCAAGCTCCATTACAACTGGGTTTAGAGTCAGCAAGAACAACGGGGAATGCTGCAAACTGGCTGTTAATCAGAGATTGGGGTCAAATTGGGATCTATTCCTGAATAAAAGTGAATCAGCAGGCTTAGGTTTCCAGTCTAACTATGAAGCTAGTCATTATTCTGTGCCGATGTAAATGTCCATCTGACAGTCCTGAGCCCTACCATTTTAATGCAGATTCCCTTAATTTTAAGGGAATTCCCTTCATTTTAAGTACGTTGTTTAAATTCTGCATTGAAATAACAGGATGGAGGATTACACAAGAGCTTAGTCACTATGGATACATCTATACAATAGATATTTGCTTTCCAGGCAAAGAACACATGACTTGTTTTCCAGAATTTCCAGTTTTATTGGTGTGTGTGTGTGTTTGACATCAGAATAAGTGAAGATTCACAACCTGGAATATCCACGAGGAATATGATCCTGACAGTTGATCTGGGACCACTCCTGCTGTGACCTTTGGTACTGACCCTACTGAAGGTTGCAGGCTCAGGGAGTGGACAGGCAGGAAGCTGGACCGTGTATCCTATCTCTTATCTGGTGAGTAATCAGATGAATCCTTACTTAGAAGCTGCCTAGAGTTTTATCTATCTGTCAGTGTCACTGTCATGGTGAAAAGGGGATCAGTTTTTTCCTGTTTACTTAGTCTGTGCCCCTTATACTTTTAATCATCGCAATCATGTATCTCCTCAGTCTCCTCTGTTCCAGGGAAAACAACCGCAGTGTATCCAATCTGTTTCCATAACTAAACCTCTCCATGCAGGCAACATCTTGGCAAATCTTTTCTGCACCCTCCCAACAGCAATTACATCCCTCCTCTAAGATGGAATCCAGAACAATATCTCATTGTGGCCTAATGAATTTTTCATACATAATCTCCCTGCTTCTAAAGTCTCAGCCTTAGCTAATAAAGGGAAGTATCCCATATGCCTTTTTAACCACTTTATCTACCTGATATATCAAGGGACTGGTGGATATGCACACCAAGGTCTGTAATCCTGAATGCTTCCCATGGTTCTAACATTCATTGCGTATTTTTGGCGGCACATTGGCTCAGTGGTTAGCATTGCTGCCTCACAGCGCCAGGTACCCAGGTTCAATTCCACCCTCGGGTGACTGTGTGTGGAGTTTGCACATTCTCTCTGTGTCTGTGTGGGTTTCCTCTGGGTGCTCCGGTTTCCTCCCACAGTCCAAAGATGTGCAGGTTAGGTGAGATGGTAAATTGCCCGTGGTGTTCAGGGATGTGTTGATTAGGTGGGATATGGGGGATCGGTCTGGGTGGGATGTTCTGAGGGTCGGTGTGCACTTGTTGGGCCAAAGGGCCTGTTTGCACACTGTAGAGATTCAATGATTCCCTTGCCTTGTTTGTCCTTCACAAGTGCATCACCTCACATTTATCTGGATTGAATTCCATCTGATCAGCCCAATTGACCAGCCAAGGGCGTCAACATTGACCCCTGCAGAGCCCCTCTGGGCACAGGCATTCAGTCACAAAAACACTTCTCAACCATCATCCTCTGCCTCCTGCCAATCAGTCAGTTCTGGATCAAATTTGCCAAATTTCTTTGGCTCTTACCTTTACCAACAGCGTCCCACACAGGACCTTATGAAGAGCTTTATGAAGTTCAAGTCTACATACCTCTTCGAAAAATTCAGTCAAGTTGGTCAGACATACCGTTCCTTGAACAAATCCATGCTGAACATTCCTGATTAATCTCTGCCTCTCCAAATGCAGATGCATTTTGACCCTCAGAATTGCTTCCAATTGTTTTCCCATCATTGTTGTAAGTATGACAGGCCTGTAGTTTCCTGGTTTATCCCTTGCTTCCTTATTGAATTACAGGGCCACATTGGATGTGCTTCAATCTTCTGCCACCTCTCCTGTGGCAAGAGGGGAACTGAAAATTATATCTAGCATATTGGCACAAAGGTAGGTGACAGAGGGTGGTGGTGGAAGGTTGCTTTTTGAACTGGACGCCTGTGACCAGCAGTGTGCCGCAAGGTTCAGTGCTGGGTGCACTGTTTTTTTTTGTCATGTGTATAAGTGATTTGGATGTGAATATTGGAGGTGTGGTCAGTACGTTTGCAGATGACACCAAAATTGGTGCTGTAGTAGACAGCGAAGGAGGTTACCTCAGAGTGCAAAAGGACCTTGATCTGACGGGCTGAGGAGTGGCAGATGCAGTTTAATCTAGATAAATGTGAGGTGCTACATTTTGGTGGGCAAATTAAGGCAGGACTTGTACTCTTAATGGTAAGGTCCTGGGAGTGTTGCCGAACAAAGAGACCATGGGGTGCAGGTTCATAATTCCTTGAAAGTGGAGTTACAGGTAGACAGTGTAGTGAAGAAGGCACTTGATATGCTTGTCTTTGTGGTCAGTGCACTGAATATAGGAGTTGGGAGGTCATGTTGTGGCTGTACAGAACAATGGTTAGGCCACTTTTGGAATACTGCGTTCAATTGTAGTCTCTGTTACAGGAAGGATGTTGTTAAACCTGAATGCGTTCAGAAGAGATTTACAAGGATGTTGCCAGGGTTGGAGGGTTTGAGCTAAAGGAGAGGCTGAATAGACTGGGTCTATTTTCACTGGAGCGTTGGAGGCTGAGAGGTGACCTTAGAGGTTTATAAAATCATGAGGGCACGGATAAGGTGAATAGCCAAGTCTTTTCCTCGAGGTGGGTGAGTCAAAAACTAGAGGGCATAGGTTTAAGGTTCAAGGGAAAAGATTTAAAAGTGACCTAAGCGGCAACCTTTTCATGCAGAGGGTGGTGCTTTTATAGATTGAACTGCCAGAGGAAGTGGTGGAAGTTGGTATAATTAAAACATTGAAAAGGCATCTGGATGGGTATATGAATAGGAAAGGTTTAGGGGGATATGGGCCAAATGCTGTCAAATGGGACTAGATTAATTTATGATATCTGGTTGGCATGGATTTGCTTCCATGCTGTACATCTCGTTGACTCTGTGACCACTTAACTGACCAATCACATCGTCAATTGATGACTGGTCTGAAGCCTATCTCGGATAAAAGGTTGAGGACCACGTATCATCATTGAATCATAAAAAAATTATGTAACAGAGGAGGTGTTCAGCCCATAATATCTGCACTAGCTGAAAGTGAACTCTGCAGTATAATCCTAATTTCCAGCTATTTGTCGTGTAACTCTGAGAATTAAAGCAGCTGCACTGTATATCAGAGTAATTTTTAAATGTGACATATGCTTGTGCCTCTACCTCCATTTCTGACAGTGAGCTCTGGAACCAGTCATCCTCTGGGTGAAGTGATCCCTCAGTTTCTCTCTTTTCCTTCCAATTACTTCAGATCTCTGTCTCCTGGTGACTGACCTCTCTGTCAATGAAACCTCTCAGTTTGTGGCCATTGTAATTCTATCACATGCTCTGTTCCAGTCAAATCAGCCAAAGCCTGTCCAAACTTTCCAGATTATTAAAACTTTTCACTGCGACAACATCTTGATAATCTCCACTGTGCCCTCTCTTGTGCAGTCACGTTCCTCCTGTTATGCAGTAACTGAATTGTATCCAGGCTTCTCACTGTTGTCTAACTAGTATTTTCTTCTTTAGAGATCAAGAACAATGGCTTTCTCACCTCCCGTTTGCTTCAATGCAATGAACACTGACAGGTCTAACCTGTTAGTATTTGAAAGAGTATTTTTCTGAAGAAGGATCTAGGCCCAAAACATCAGCTTTCCTGCTCCTCTGATGCTGCTTGGCCTGCTGTGTTCATCCAGCTCTACACCTTGTTATCTTTAGTATTTGAAAGAGACTTACAAATGATTTGAAAAACAAGGGAACCCTTTGCTGCTCAGTCCATCCGAGGTGTTCGATAACAGACTGGTGAATATTGAGCTGGAGGATTGGGCCTTGATGTGTTTCATTGTTGGCTTTAAACTTTGATTCTTTTGTTTTAGACACTAGATAACGCAACTCATAACAACAGATTGTCTCTGCTGGCTTTATGAACAGCATTGTAATGATAGAAACAAAGCAGAGATACCCAATCTGAGGACAGAGACAGTACAATGGATTCAGAGCTCTCAACTCTGTTATAATACAGAAGACGAGTTAACTTATCCAGAGAATAGCTAAGAGAAATGAAATCATTTATAATTAGAAATTATAAAAGATTCACAAGTGGAGCAATCATTAATGGGATGTCAATTAGTGTCCTCTTGTCTTGGAGATATTAAGATCCTGATTAAGTGTCTGAAACAAACTCAGTTCCTTTAACAAATAGCATAATATTAAACCTCAGCTCAGTTATTGTATTATTTACATCACAATGAACAAACTGAAAGTGTCAGCATAAGCACGACTCAGTCTTGGGTGGGACTGACAGCAACAAAAGCAGCAGAATCCAACATCGGTCTTCAACCTGTGAACTCGCTGGTGTCTGAAAAGGTGGCTGAGTGATTGAATGCCTTCTGACACTGAGAGCAGGTGACTGGGGAGAGACCAGTGTGAACTCGTTGATGTGTCAGAAGATTGGATGACTGAATGAAGAACTTACCATGCAGAGAGCAGGTAAATGGCCTGTCCCGAATGTGAACTCACTGGTGTGTCACTGGAGTAGATGACAGAGCGAATCCTTTCCCACACATGGAGCATCTGAACAGTTGCACTGGTGCGTCAGCAGGTTGCTTGTGGTTTCATAACTCATCTCACATTCACAACATCTGAAAGGTGAGTGAACAAATTGGTATTTGGAGAGGTTGGATGATCGGGGGAAGTCTTTTTCCCACACAATGAGCATGTGAATGGCTTCTCCCTCTCTGAGAACTTGCTGGTGTCTTAGTAGTTCGCTCCTGGTTTTATAATTCTTCATACATTCAGAACATCTGAAAGGTCTTTCATCAGAGCGAACATGTCAGTGTGCAATTAGGTGTGATGATCGTGTGAATCCCTTCCCATAGAGTGTGCAGGTGAATGACCTGTCCCCAGTGTGAGTGTATTCATGTTCAATGAGACTGTGTGACTATTTAACAGTCTCCCACAGTAAGAACAAATGAAGTGTTTACCTGACCAGATCTTGACCAGATCCACAGAGCTTTTAAGACTGTTTGCATTGTCCAAATGTTTAAACAGCCTCTCAACACTATGAACTTGCTGCTGAACTTCAGCAGACTTCTTGATTGAGTGAATCCCTTCCCACACACAGAATGTGAGCAGCCTCGCTGCACTGTGAACTTGCAGGTGTTTCAGCAGGTTAGGTATCTGAGTGAATCTTTTCCCGCACAAGGAGCAGTTGAACAGCCTTTTCCCCAGTGTATCTATGCTGATGAATTCCAGCAGGGTTGGATAACTGTATCCCTTCCCACACTTCCCACATTTCCAAGTTTTCTCCATGAGGGTATCCTTGTGTCCCTCCAGGTTGAATATCAATTGTAACCTTAAGTGCACACAGTTGCTCGTTCTGAATGGTACTACTATTTTATTTTCTATTGACTCTTTAACTGCTTAAAGCTCTTTCCACAATCAGTTCACTAGAACACTCTCCGTCAGTCCATGTAACTGTTTAATGTTCTATACACAGCCATTCACTGCAACACTTTCAATCAGGCTCTGTAACTAGTTAAAGCTCTTTACACAGTCTGTTCACTGGAACACTCTCAATCAGTCACTCTTTCACTGAGTGTGACTGTGTTTCTTGTGTCTTTTCAGTCATAGTGATGTTTGATTTTCTTCCCCCCTTAGACAGAATAGATGATCATTTCTCCTTGCACAGTCAAAGGCTGATGATATTCTGTTCTCGATGAATTGAGTGCCTCTGTCAGATCTTGATGTGTCTGATCTAAGTTTCCCATCTGCAAATCATCTGCCTGGAAAAGGAAGTTCAGAAAGTTATTACTTACAGTACAGGACAGACATTCAGAACAAATTTGATTTATTTTGCTGGAACATTCTTATCTTGCTGGTTTCCCCAAACACATGGTGGAATTCAACTGAAAAGAGTGAGAATCAACAAGAAAAGCAAAGGGAACATTCCCAACTAAAGCAGAAAATTGTTCCTCATGTTTATATGAGACTTTACCATTTTACATACTTATGTTGTGGAGGAGATTAAGCGTAAAGGTGCATACCGCTTGCTCCCTCTCCAAAGCCATCTAGGCATATACAAGGGTACAGAAGACAGACAGACCGTGACTGAATTGTAGAAAATGACATTTAGTGGAACTTCTAATAGCCACAATGATGAGTCCGCATCAATAAAGTCTGTGACACCAACTCCCTGTTTTAGGACATAAACCCAAACACGTAAACTTGGAGGATAATAACAATTGAACAATGGCTGGATGAACAGAAATTTATGAAAGCATTCTGACAAATAGTCATGAGAATTGATGCATTAACTTTTTTTCTCTCTATGAATGCTGCCAGATCTACTGAGTTTCTCCAGCATTTTATAGTTTTTGTTTCAGATCTCCAGAATTCTTTGTTTTATTTCACAAGAGTCATTACTGTCAATTGGAGTATGGAAGAGTCAGATTTTTTTTTGCCTCATCAATAAGATGTGTAGCTTGACGGACAAGTTGTCTCCATTCTGAAAAATGGGCAGCAAGCTCCTTCCAGTCATCCCAATTATTTCCCTCTACAATGATGGAAGCCACGTATGGACCAGCAGGACACATGTGTCGAATGCA